CTTAATTGTTTTTAGGCCAGCATAATTCTGCTAACCAAGACAGCTAACCCATAACCATGAATCAATGAAATGGTAATGGAGCCATAGGAGGAAAAAAAAAAAAAGCAAACACATTCAATATAGTGTGATAATGCTGCTGAGGGCGTTCTGTTTCCCCCTTAAAACAATGCCTGCAACTCACCTTTTTCATGAATTCTGCAAAATATCTCTCATCATTTAACCTACTACTTTTTTTTAAATGGGAAGAAATAGTCTTAAAAACAGGAAAAGAAACTAAGAAATGAATTGAATTTGTTTGCCACAGGCTCATCATCATAAACAGGATTTTTCTTTTGGTTCAAGACGATGTCAGGTGAAAAAAAAATCACTCGTTTTAATTTAATCCCTTAGAGGAGATTGTTTCAACGTGAAGTCTTCGCACTAACCAGCAGGTCAGTTGCTACTGTAGGTAATAATGCTTGATGCTGAAATGAAAAGAACAGAAGATTTGGTGGGACTCCTGGCATTCAGCTAAGAGACACCTATTAGCTGGTTGGTCCTATTAAAGGTTTCATTCTATCATTAACGCCACTGGAGTCTACTGTGAGTCCGCTTCTGTGGAAAACCAGCTCTGGCACTCCTGTTTCAGCGACTTTGAGTGGCAAGGGAGGGACAACGATATGATTTAGTCTTAAGTAGGGCTGCAGCTATCGAATATTTTTGTAATCGAGTACTCTCTCGAATCTTTTTTTGATTAATCGAGTACTTTAATAAATGACCCTTTTGTGTTTGTAAACCATTATATCAAATTGCGTGTTATAAAATATGAACGACCTCTTAAAATGAGCACGCAATTGCCAGTTATTCTTCAAGTTTTATTCAAAATTAGTTTTCAAAACTTCAGCACTTCAACTTTACTTCACAGTAAACAAACGCCTGTGCAAAAAATAAGTACACAACCTGGGCCGATTTTCCCCTCATGCGAGAATCTAATAGCCCGGCAAGCTAGACAAAAACTAGGAGGATAACTGTTGAAGTAGTTCTGCGAGCGGCTGCGGCCCAAACAGAACCAGAACCGCTCACGGCGCATGCGCAAACATCTCGCCAGCTATTTCCCTATTAACACACGTCCGTTTTAATTTCTACACTTATTTTTCTCACACAATAACAAGGATTGTCGAGAAAGCATGCTTGCCATGGTTTTGTCAAATTACACTGATCACAAAACATTTATTTACTTTATTTTGTTTTCCTTCGCCACTCATAAATACCCGTGTCCTCCTGCAGCAAACCCGAGGGACAACAGATATCAATAACAACACAATAAAAAGTCTGACGTGTTGTGTAAAAACTGCTATTTTTAGCACATTTTAAGTCCGACGTGTTACTAGCAGACGTACGGTGTGAGCTGAAACTGAGTGCTACAAATGAAAAAGTTGCACAGTGTCCGCAGAATATATAGAAATACAGGCTAAATGCATTATCTTGTAGAGGCTCTGAGTCCGCTTGCAGAAGTGACATTTACATGTGGATGTTTCCTGGTCAGGTGCTGCAGCATGGAGGATGTGGTGTTGTGGTAGGCTAAATCCATTTTACAGTATTTACACTGGGCTATGTTTTCCGCCTTACGGCGTGACATCTTGCCCTCATACTTGTCCGTGTCCTGGGAAGTGTTGCAAAGCAATTCCCTGCCAGGACAACAGAGGGCGTAGCGCTGTTCTGTGGCATCCTGTCATGTATCCGGTCCAAGATAGTGTGTTTATATTGTTTTTGTATAAAAGAGACTTAAGCTGTTTTTACAGGACCATAGCGTTTGCAAAACGGGATTGGCCACGACTCCCTGGGGAGGATTTTGGCATTTATAGTAGCAAACGAGATAAAGGGAGGTCGCTGCCCCCCCCCCCTCCCCATCACCTTTCCCCTTTGCTCCTTGCCGCATATACGAGACCCACAAATTTGGATTCATCACTCTGTAATGACGCGATGCTCTGTCTTTTAAAAGTGGCTTTTTTTTTTAACACAGACAAATTTGTCTCTCATTCCCCTCCACGTCTTCATGCACTCGCCACCTCTAAACCCACGTTTCCTATCATTTCCATCCACAAATAAAACACTTGCTGCGTAACTTTTGACTCTTCCAGTCACAGAAACGTTCATATTTTTAGTTTGTTCGCGAGGTATTCTTCAAGCTTCTCCGTGTCTGCCGCTAGTTTTCCTCTGCTCTCTTCATGTTTTTGAGGACGCAATGGCGGCGGTGTAGACGACAGTGGTGCCCTGGCCAATCACAAGCTTGCAATCTCCATCTCGACGGACGGATGTTTAGAAAAGAGAGCTCGACTCCGTCTGTCCTTGCGAGGGCTCTCCAGCAGTCTCGCAAGGACGAATAATGGCGTTGCGTGCGTCCGTCCCAACGCAGACGGAGAAGTATAATTTAGGCTTTACTCCTTGATATTCATGATATGAGCACATCCTGTTTCTGATTGGCTAACAGATATGCAGCTCTTTTGCTGCCTTGTTTCACATTTTCTTGGGTAAAAATGCAACAAATAACAAAAGCCTGAATGTGCTTTCTCCTTTTGTGGAGTTGCTAATGCTAGCATTTAGCTTCTACTAGCAGAGATGCACTCTGCTTTCTCCTGGTTGCTAAAACAACAACAGTCTTTCCATTGGCAGTCACAAGCCACAACAGTGGGCAGAGCCATGAACACAAATTTACCCTGTGATGTAGAAGAGGCTGTTGTTTTATGACTCGATCGTTTCCAGGTATCCTTTCTGTGACTAATGCAGGAAGATACTTTTCACATTCAGTATGCATATGCATCAGAGTGACCAACCAGATTTCAAAAAGAAGTATTACATAATTTCTTAGAATGAGACCTTTAAACAGCAATGTAAACAGCACACATCCCTATATCTCATTTGTTTTCTCATTTATTTAACACAATAAGTGATAAACACACAGCAAGGCTCATTAACATGAAAATCACCAAGTCATTCTGCAGACATGTCACCTCGCTAAAACTCACCACCAAACTGCGGCTCGGATGTAAAACTGATAAGACTAAACTTTACATTTAAATTATGAAAAGCTCATTAATAACAAATGGTGCATATTACGGCTGGGCGATCAATCAAACTAAATGATTAATCAACATTATGACTCTGTAATGGGCCCAGTTGTATTCATGTGATAAATTAGTTTTTTTTCACTAGAGCAGTCTAATCTTAACTTGCTTTAAACCTCAAAAACCAAAAAAGTAATCTTACTTTGAATTTTACTCTCTACACACTCCTACGGTTTAATGTGGTCTGCATGCATATTTACTTTGAAATCTCTTAAAGCTTCTAACATTTATGATTTTTCTTAGTCAAGTGATGATTGAGTTTGAGAGCGGAAGAGAGGAGTTTGAAGAGTTCATGGTGCACTGGTTAAACCGTTTTATACTCCAGTTAACATGACCATTAGTTACAGAGGATTAATCAAAGCTCCAGTAACTACATTTGGTTGCTGAAGAGGGGATTCACCCCCCTGTATCCCCTTTCCTCAACTTAATGTACACTTCTCAACAGGCATTCCCAATGGATATTTATTAAAATAATGATAGTTGACTGATTTATCTCTAAAGGTGTGGTTTACTCGTTTATTCAGTGTATTTGCAGTGTTCTCTTATGAGTCATTTAAAAATAATAAAAAAAAAACTATGATGCTCGTGTGCTGACATGCAGACGTTTGCAAAGGTGGGCTGAAAACAGCAGGGTTACTCATTAATATTAATGATATGCAAACACCTCGCTTCTGATTGGCTAACAGAAAACATTCCGCCATGTTGCAAAGTCACTATCACCAAGACACGCCAGTCTCTCTCCTTGCTGGAAAAAAATAAAAATAAAAATGGCTTCCTGTGGGCAGGTGGGAGCCAAGATGGGCGAGGCCATGAACGCAAATTCACAGTGTGACATAGATACAGTATGTGAGGATTTTCTAATACTAGCATTTCACCATCTATTTTCTATCAGAAGCTAACGCAGGAGATATCATCAGATTATACCGTATTTTCCAGACTATAAGTCACACTTTTTTCATAGTCTGGCTGGTCCTGTGACTTATATACCAAATTATGTATACCTCGCTGCTGCGGGCTGGCTCCGGGCCAGGAATGAGCCCCCCCCCCCCCCATCACCTGCTGGAGACCATTGTGCGCTGCTGCGGACCGGCTTCGGTCCAGGTTTCAGCTCCTCTGCCCCGCTGGGAGGGTTTGAAACACCGCCATCCTCTGCTGGAGACTGTGGTGCGCTGCTGCGCCCTGATTGTTTATTTTGTTATTGTTACCGGTACTTGTCTTGCAATGTGAAATGCTTGGTCTCATATTTTGTAAGAAAAATAATAAAATTTCCCCCCAAAATGTGACTTACATATGTTTTTTTCTTCTTCATTATACATTTCATGGCTGGTGCGACTTATACTCCGGAGCAACTTATACATCGGAAAATACGATAATCAGAAATAATAATTTAAACATTTTTTGTCAGTCAACCACACCTTTAAAAATTGAATTTTGAATATTTAAACAACATTTGAAAATCCCTTCCTTCACTTAAAAACTCCCAGTCCTAGTTTGTGATCTGATTTCTAATTAACACAACCTGACTCAATAACTGTGGATCTCTCTGGATGCGAATGGGATTCAGTTATTTGAAAAACAGTACCTGCCAGATGACAAGCAACTCAAACCTCCACTTATCTCTTCTGTCTCTTCCTTAGTGAAAAGTGGATCATATCAGCGTGATCAGCTCAATACCCACAGGAGTCGTTCACGCCAAAGAGCACCTTGCAGACTGACAGCTAAAGGGCCTTGATCACTCAACTGATGCGGTAAAAGCAGTGATCACGCTGACAGCAGATGTGGAATAAGACATTTCACAAACACATATCACACTGAAAATAACAAACCAGCAATGGGCAAACCGATGAACAGCTGCATTTTTGCACTTTTTTAAGCTTAGATGTGCACGCTACTTACCCTGTGTGGGTCGCTTTCGTGCCATCGACGTCTTGATTCTGTCTCTTCATAAGGTGGCACCATTCCTTCTCGTCTCGCTTGCTGATACTCCCTTTTTAGCTGCTGGATTCTGTCCACACTGATGCACAAACACACACACAGGCAGATGCAGACAACACACAAAGAAAAACAAAAACAAGCATTTAGATTGGTTCAAAATAAAGCTCAACCATAAATCAGGTGTTTTAAATCCATCCATTTTCTGAACCTGCTTGTCCATGTAGGGTGGGGGGGTGGGGGGTGATGCCTATCTCCAGCGGTCAATGGGCAATCAGGTGGGGTACATCCTGGACAGAGAGCCAGTCCATTGCAGGGCAACACAGAGACACGCAGGACAAACAATCATGCACACACACACGCGCGCACACACACACTCACACCTAAGGACAATTTTAGACAGGCCAATTAACCCAACAGTCATGTTTTTGGGACTGTGGGAGGAAGCCGGGGTACCCGGAGAGAACCCACGCATGCACAGGGAGAACATGCAAACTCCATGCAGAAAGATCCAGGCCGGGAATCGAACCCAGGACCTTCTTGCTGCAAGGCAACAGCTCTAACCACTGTGCAGCCCGTGTTTTAAATAAAAATATATATATATATAAAAAAAAACGCTGCATGCTAGTGTGTAAACGCTTTGATGAATCAAAACCAGACATATGTCCTTATGATGAAGCGAGACATGAGACAACTATTTATTCTAAAAGAGATGTTTTCCCCCAACATCAGATTCAGAAGTCTGGGGACAAACCCGTCTACATTTGTGCACGTGAACATAGCCCTTGATCACTCTCCCCGACTACATCTATATCTGTTTCCTCTGGTCCTTTATTTCTTTCTTTTCTCTTGCAAGAGGGGAGAAAACAAAATCATCAATCATTTTATGAATATTCTCTCTGTCAACACAGGAAATATGTAGCATATCAACACTGAACTCTGGGCACCCCTGTGAGTCATGCACACACACAAACACACACACACATAGCCACTCACCCACACATAATTGAAATGCAGAAAGTCATATCCTACACATACTGTATGAGGCCGTACGCAACATTAGAAAAGCAGTTTGCAATTTCATGAGCTCAGTTGAGTATGAGCGGGAAACACACTGGTGGAACATCAGGTGATTTATGAAACACACACACACACACACACACACACACACACACACACACACACACACACACACACACAACAGACTGCAGGAATAAGGTGAGGGCTCATGGATGAATAGTGATCTGCTCATTATTTCTATATTTGTGCAAATACCCAGTAAAAACATAGTTTTGACATCTTAAAAAAATGTAAATAACAACAAAAACCCAGGTACTGAATAAACATCTGATTATCAATCAATCAATTAGATTTTATTTATAAAGCACTTTTCAAACAAAGTGCTACTCAAAAGTGCTTTACAAAATGACCCCGAATTCCCATAACAATTTAAAAACATTAACACACACACACACACACACACACACACACACACACACACGCTTTCCATTCATCTTAGTGAGTCTACTATGCCTAACCCAAACCCTAACCAGTGTATTTCTAAAGTTATCTGTAACAAAAACTCATTTCACATCTTATCTGTAAACCTCAGCCCTAGGGAGTACTCCATATTAGGACCGGGTCTTGGTCCTAACAAGGACCATTGGCCCTAAGATTGGGAAATATCCCAAATCCGGTCTTCACAAGGGTACAAATACAGCTTTTGCAGCATATTCTAATTGGGGTACCATCTGAGATGTTGTTTTCTGGAACATTTTTGTCATATTGCTTGGAATGCTATTCATATACAAATGACATCCCATGAAAGTAATGTTTTACCAAAAACAACCATATCTCAATTGTACAATCATGGCAAAACCTCACCCAATCCAGAACTGGTTCCCCGTCTAAATTATACAATCATAGCCCATCCATGAAACTCAAAGTGTCATACTCTCATCAGCTAATTAATCCAAAACACCTGCAAAAGGTTCCTGACCCTTTACATGGTCTCTCAGTCCAAGTTGAATTGGTAAAATTAATTAACTTTTTCTCATTTTTTTGAGCTTCACCTGTATTTAATGCATTTTTGTATACCCCTTTTCTAAGTCAGGGACTCCAAAGTGCTTTACAGTACAACTGTGTTGCCTTTAGGCACTTAATAATTTAATAAATAAGTTAAATGCATTACAAAGAGATGTAAAAATTGTTTAAAACATTTAAAAAGTATTTTTAAGAGTTTCCTACAAGTATTCCATGTTTATTTGTGAGTTTTATTTAAAAACATCCATCCATCCATCCATCCATCCATCCATCCATCCATCCATCCATCCATCCATCCATCCATTCATTCATTCATTCATTCATTCATTCATTCATTCATTCATTCATTCATTTTCATCCACTTATCCATCCATCCATTTTCATCCACTTATCCGGAGTCAGGTCACGGGGCAGTAGCCTAAGTCGAGAGGCCCAGACTTCCCTCTCCCCAGGCACTTGGGCCAGCTCCTCTGGTGGAATCCCAAGGCGTGCCCTGGTCGGGTGAGAGACATAGTCCCTCCAACGTGTCCAGGGTCTACCTTTAGGCCTCCTCCCGGTTGGACGTGCCTGGAAAACCTCACCAGGGAGGCATCCAGGAGGCATCCTGACCAGATGCCCAAGCCACTTCAACTGGCTCCTCTCGATGTGGAGAAGCAGCAAATCTACTCCGAGCCCTTCCCGGATGACCAAGCTTCTCACCCTATCTCGAACCCCCAAATTCCACTACCTCCGCTCCGCTCCGCTCCGGTCCGCCCCCGCCTTCCGCAGCCGCTCGCTTCCGAACTCAATTTTTACTGGTACCCGCTCTACAACGGCTCCGCTCCGGTGCGGAGACCTGAGGTGGGCAAACAAGCATGCGCAGGATTTTCGAGATCTTGCGATACAGTCCGAGCAATAAACGCGGATATTAGATCCAAACACCAGTTGTGTGGGAGAAGCATCGGCATGAACTGTTTAATCTGCCCACCATTTGTGTTGAGAGATCAGCAGTGTTTGGATCAACAAAGTGTGACTACTTTGATAGTAGAAACTGTATTTATGGCTTACTTTTGTGCATTTAAACTTCAGCCGCCATTGATAGTTGTTAAAAGTTGTTAAACCTGTGCATATGAAACAAAAAACGCCTTTTGTTTATCGATTTATTGTGAAAAACGGAAGTTGTGCTTGCTCCTTTTCCTGTTGGGCTGTTGTGATTTCTGTCCATTTACTGCGGAGGTGCTCCGGCGTCCGGCGAAAATAGGATCGATTCTATTTTTGCCGGACGCTGGAACAGAGGGCGGCGCACGGCGCTGCACTGCCGCAGTAGTGGAATTGCTCTGATTGACTACTATGGGACCGATTTTGCTCCGCCGTTCGTGTCGGAGTGGAGCGGAGCGGAGGTAGTGGAATTTGGGGGTTAGGGAGAGCCCAGCCACTCTGTGGCACCCTCCAGGATCCCCCTAAGGGCATAGAACTGGTCCAGTGTTCCACGGCCAGGACGAAAACCACATTGCTCCTCCTGAGTCTGAGTTTCAACAATCCGACAGACCCTCCTCTCCAGAACCCCTGAATAGACCTTACCAGGAAGGCTCAGGAGTGTGATCCCTGTAGTTGGAACACACCCTGTGGTCCCCCTTTTTAAATAAGAGGACCACCACCCCGGTCTGCCAGTCTAGTGGGACTGCCCCCGATGTCCACGTGATATTGCATAGCCGCGTCAGCCAACACAGCCCCACAACATCCAGAGCCTTAAGGAACTCTGGGCGGATCTCATCAAACCCTGGAGCCTTGCCACAGAGGAGCTTTTTAACCACCTCAGTGACCTCAGCACCAGAGATTTGAGAGGCCAACCCAAAGTCCCCAGACTCTGCTTCCTCACTGGAAGACGTGTCGGCGGGATTGACGAGGTCTTCGAAGTATTCTGCCCACCAATCCACAACGTCCTGAGTAGAGGTCAGCAGCACACCGTCCCCATTATAGATAGGGTTAGTAGCGCACTGCTCCCCACCCCCACCCCCACCCCCCACCCCCCCACCCTGAGACGCCGGATGGTGGACCAGAATCTCCTCAAAGCCGTACGGAAGTCTTGCTCCATGGTCTAACCGAACTCCTCCCATGCCCGGGTTTTTGCCTTGGCGACCACCCGAGCCGCGTTCCGCTTGGACTGCCGGTACCTGTCAGCTGCCTCTGGAGTCCCACAGGCAAAAAATACCTGATAGGACTCTTTCTTCAGCTTGACAGCATCCCTATCTGCTGGTGTCCACCAGCGGGTTCGGGGGTTGCCACCATGACAGGCACCGACGATCCTGCGACCACAATTCCGGTCGGCCGCCTCAACAATCGAGGCACAGAAGAGTGTCCATTCAGACTCAATGTCCCCCACCTCCCCCGGAACATTTTGGAAGTTCTGTCGGAGGTGGGAATTGAAGCTCCTTCTGACAGGAGACTCTGCCAGAAGTTCCTAGCAGACCCTTGCGATACGTTTGGGCCTGCCTGGTCTGACCGGCATCCTCCTCCACCATCTGAGCCAACTCACCACCAAGTAGTGGTCAGTTGACAGCTCCGCCCCTCTCTTCACCCGAGTGTCCAAGACATGTGGCCGCAGGTCAGATGAAACAACAACAAAGTCGATCATCGAGCTGCGGCCTAAGGTATCCTGGTTCCAAGAGCACAGATGGACACCTTTATGTCTGAACGTGGTGTTCATTATGTACAATCCATCACTGGCACAGAAGTCCAATAACAAAACACCACTCAAATTCAGATCAGGTTCCTCCCAACCACACCTCTCCATGTCTCACTGTCTCCCCCAGTTTCCCACGTAAGCGTTAAGGTCCCCCAGCAGAACGAGGGAGTCACCGGAAGGAGCGCTTTCCAGCACCCCCTCCAAGGTTTCCAAAAAGGGTGCGTAGTCTGAACTGTAGTTTGGTGCATAAGCACAGACCACAGTCAGAACCCATCCCCCCACACGTAGGCGGAGGGAGGCTACCCTCTCATTCACTGGGGTATACCCCAACGTACAGGCACCAAGATGGGGGGCAACTAGTATGCCCACCCCTG